AAAAGGAATGCTTTCACAGCAGCCACTTCAGTGTTTGTACATGACTGATTCATCAAGAGTGCTTGTATTCAGGATTCCTTTTTAAATTTCCAGTCTGTTCCTCAGACCCTGCTGAGTTTAACTAGGTAGCTGTCCTCTCTCCTTTAAAAAGAACAAATCAAATCCAACACAATGGCCAACATGTGTTCCTATTAACTTATAGGAAATGAAATACTAAGAGGAGATGGTCAATGTTTTGTAAAAGTACACAGTGCTATGAATACTTTGATCCCTCAACAACAGTGGTTATTACAATTTGACAAAAAATATGCCTTTAAATTGAAAGAGAATGTTAAAAAAAATAACCAATGTGCTACCTAGAAGCAGCACATTTGCATGTAGAACTAGCAAGGAAAATCAGCTCAAAGAGTAGGACCAGTAAAGAACATGGGTCCCATGGGTAATGCCTGAACTCTGTTAAGTTCCTAGACACGCTGTACCACATGGAGAGGAGGGAAATATAACGCAAAACTCTACATCCACACACATCCACTAGGAAAGAAATGCTAAGCTACTTGCCAGTATCTGACATGCCATCACTCTGGGGCTGCGCTCCAGAGGCAAGCATCCCTGTCAACTTGGGATCCAGGGACCAGTACCTCGCTGGTTAGGCTCTCTGTATCTTCCCCCGCCTCCCCTAAACGCTGATCAAGGTTAACTCTTACAAATGACAGCAGAACGATGCTTGGGACTCCTCAACTAATATGAAGGGGCTCTGCTAGGAAGCAGGCAGGGTGAGCTGACCAGAACCACTGTAGAGAACAGAAGCAGCATTCGGCATTAGCCTTGCTCCATTTCCCCTGCACACAAGGGAGCAGATGCTCCTCAGCCCTCCTGCATTTCTACCTCCTTTCTGAAATATGAGAGGACAGACAAAACCTGCTATGCCACATCCCTCAACCTGCTTCCCTTTGCCCAGTGAAGAAGCGTAGTCCTTCAGCTTCTCACCTCCATCCTTCCATCTCACTCTCTCCCTTTCCCTCCCCTATGCTAAGGGAGAAGCAGGGAAGCTGTTCATGTTTCTCCAGTAACACTGTCCCTGTAAGTGCCAGTAGGGAAAAGTACAGAGAGAAAAAAAAAGAACCTGGTCCTTGAGCAACTGCTTAAGTCTGTGGCTGCAGGTGAAGCAGTGGCTTCTGCTCCCCACTCTCAACAACCTCGTAACTAACAGTCTCTCACAGCTGACAACCACCTGTTTAAGACCCACCAGCTACCCAGGACCCTTGATCAGAGCCCAGGTTTTACGCTCAAGGTTGTTACATCAAAAATAGGTACAACCACCCCATTCCCATCTACTGACTCTTCCCACCCTGTCCTGAAAAGGCGTCTGCCAGAGATGCGCATGGTGGGGGCTGCCAGCCTCCTGCACTGCCTTGGAAGGTCAACAGCAGGCTTGTTCCTGCATTAGGATCAGGCTGAAGTATGAGCAAGATGCGCAGCTGTGAAGGCACCTGCACTTCTAGGCATTTGCACAAGGCAACAGCTATTGATGAGGTGCCCAAATCAGTTATTCAAATTTAGTCCTAAACTCCTTAGCAAGGTGTGAGAATTTGAGTCTCCTGTTTACAATGAATGGCTTAGCTTAAGCGAGTGCTCCTGTGGTTTAAACCAGAGATGACTCTGTAGCTCTAAGCGAAGTCTTGTGTGTTGGGGGCAAGTTGGCACAAATACAAACGTCTACGGCATCTTCACAGAAAACTTAAAAACTGAGAAGTTTATTAGATTGAACAGATCAAAATAAATAACAAAAGTGGGGGCTCATTAAGTTTAGCTGTTTATATTCATCTATAGTAATTCCCACTGTGGATAATGTGTTTTAGAATAAACAGTATTGTAGATGACTACGGGTAAGATAGCATTCCAGCTTGTTTCTACCCATCAGCAAACTCTAGGAGACCTTTTTTTTAAAAAAAAAAACAAAAAACCACAACAAACAACAAACAAAACTTTTCCAAGGCTACTTTTCAGTGGCAAGAGCTACTAACAAGCCTAGTGAAATGACACCTAAGTGGCTGCAAGAATAAGAACACATACGGTTCTTTGCATAACGCTTTATGCTAAAAAAGGGATGTATTTTATCTAAATAGTAGGATCGTACACATTTTTATGTTTGGAAGTTTACTCAAAATAGTATGAAAGTATTCTTAAAATACTACAACTTGAAACAATGCATGATAGAAACAATCTGCAGGCCTAGTATGCAGAGTAGGTATCACCAGGTTCTGATGGACAATGGGGAGAGTACAGATTACCAGAAATTACATGATTGTTGTCATTAAAAATAGTAAAACATTAATTACACTACAGGAAATACTAAAAATACAGTAAACCTCGAAGTCTGTAGGTTCTGTAAGAAGCATGGTTTTAGTGCTGTTATTAGTTATTATTGAAACTCAAACAGTACTAGCTCCTTAGTCTACAGTGGCACTGTATATACATGTCAGGATTTGCAGTTTGAGTTGTACTGGTCATTGAGACAGGTAACATTCAGTGAAGTTGAGATAAAACATCAGCTATCACAAGAACAAATGTATAAAATTCCCTGAAAAATTGCACAGAAGTCAACCGTGGCTGCTAATACCAGATAAAGCAAGAGTGAGGAAAATGCGTTTGCCCTATAGCGTGGCAATGACCACCAGCTGAGAATCTACATTGGACTTGCTCTCACAAGAATCCCAACTGTCTGTCTGTCTGTCACAGGGGTCAGTTTTAAGTCCAGACAGAATTGTTCTAGTCCATTCCTGACAAGGACTTCTGAACTGCTCTAGAAAATGTCTCCCTTATTACAGCAATAATGCACCATGAACTCAGCATCTTGTATGTAAATACATTAAAATAGTTTACAGAGCATAAAAATACACCTAAAAGTCATGAAGGTTTTATTCCCCTTCTTTTCCCCTCAAGATGAAGGCTACTCTGCTTTTGTCACCCTCCCACCTCCCCTCCCTCCCCCCTAAATAAGCAGATGCAATCAAGGAGAAATTTATTTTGAACCAATTCTGCAAAACAGTTCAACAATGCCATACTTTATAAAAATACTTAGTTACATAATTAAACTTATTACTATTTATATAAAAAGTGTGAATGTGAATTTTAAACTCTATTAGGGTAAGAACCACATCAAGGTCTTCAGGTGAAACAAATAAATTTTCATAAACATACAAACTCTTTTGGAGAAGTCTTATAATACACAACCATTTACAATGAACACGTTCATTAAGTTAGTGTTTTATTCCTTTACTATACAAGTGTTATTACAATGAACTGTTCCATTCAGTAATTAAAAATCCAAACAATGCCAGTGTCATTTTTGGCATTTTTTTGTTATAACTGTATTAATACATAAACTCATATGATTGTGTTATTAATTTTAAAATATTTAGAAAAATTAAAATTCCATTGTATTTTTTGGGTTGATTTTTGTGTGTGGTTTTTTTTATTTTTGTTTTTCTTACATAAAGCCCTTTTAAAATTTGATAACCACAGATGTATAGGTAATGAGCAATGATGAGGGAAAATGAAAAATGATGGCACTGTTCTTAAAAAGATCTGTTCGGTAGCTGGACTCAATGTAGTGTAAACCCATGAAAAATATTAAGTTTAGTACCAGAACTACATTACCAGTTTTTCTGAAATTCATTTGTTGGATGGCTTTACAATGATAATATGAATTCCAACCTGGTAGCTAAGTAAGAGTTTAGTGTTTCAAAATTAAAGTACATAAGCTTGATCAGAAATTCAGGAACCTCATGCAAATTATTGAGTAAAAGACATGATGTTATTGCTTGATATGTCAGTAACCAAAGAAAATAAATCTAGATGTAGTGTCAGCTGTGCTGAATGCCAGCAAATTTCAATGTCACTACATTCGGACAATATTAAATATATTTTATCCCTTTAGTTTTTAAACTTTCACATTTTCTTTTGTTTATTTTCAGTTAAATAATTCTGTAGGAAGGGCAGAAGTAGGAAGAGTAACTGCATGGAAGTGTGTCTTAATAGTCAAGAAAAGCAAAAGTGCAATCAAATCCCTGAACTAGTGACAGCTAGCATTTCTGGCACCCACCCTTGTTAACACGTATAAGCCGCATACAACAGTACCAAACCTGTCTCTGAAAAAGGACTAAAAAGTGGCCATTTACCAGCTTCAGTCTTGCTTTCCTGATAAGCTTTGTTCAGGTAGTCTTAAAAGCTCGCTGTTGGATTGGAGCTTAAAAGATTAAAGGCTTCCCCCCCTGATTGTATTACATAGCTTCAAGTTCAAATATCATCATACTTTATCAATACAATTTTATAAAATATTACCTCATTTTCTAGTTACCTTCATTATTCTTAATTAGCTATGCAGAAAGAAAAAAGAAAAATCTCTCATGCTACTTTCCAGTTATATTAATACAAGTATTAACACAGTGCATTATGCTCTCTAATTTCACTATTGAGGTCTACCGTAATTTAGATCAAGTTTGTCATTCACTGTTCCAATTTCTCTTCTAACCTGCCTACCTTAAGTCCATGCAAGAGGAAGCTTAAAGATCAAGACTATATATCAAATACAGTTGTACCATTTTTTTTTAAGGGGAGTGGGGGGGCACACACATGTAATTTTGAACACAGGGAGTTTTACAGAACTGGAATAGAATTGCTTGGTCCCACAAAGTTCTTCTGCTTTAAAAATGTCTTACCCCAAGATCACTTTAACTCTAGACAATTCCCTCTTTAGTAGGATGATTATAAAATGTTGGGGAAATAAAGGATTTGAAGCATTGGGTTTTCTGCTATTATTCACACTCGTTTTTCTACCTCGTATTTTCAGTAAGCTTCCTTTGGACCCTGAAAATAAGTTGGGAAGAGGAAAAAAATAAACACATGTCATTGGTAAATTAGATTATAACACTTTAAAAGTGGTTTTGTGCAACTGCATTATGAAATTCCAGTTTGCCATTAAGAGCATGCAAAGTAGCGAAGATTTTCTTTCCTTTGATTCCTTACAGACGTCAGGAATTCTTTGCAAGTCTTTTACATTTGGCAGATTTGTGCATATTATACAGACTGTTGGCTTATAAATTGTCTCCAGGCTGGTACTGTGGTTCTGTAGCAGTAAAGTAGTCCTCCAAGAAAGACTGTATATACTCAAATGTTGGTCTTTCATCAGGGTCCTTCTTCCAACACAGTTTCATTAACTCATGGAGAGACTCTGGGCAGCCTTGTGGGCAAGGCATCCTATATCCACGTTCCACTTGTTCCAGAACTTCCCGATTCACCATCCCTAAGAAGAAAGCATTTTAGCTTTGAATGACGTTATGGAAAGAAGTTTCCAAAAGTTTGTCAAGTGTCTCTGCAGCCGCAATGCATGTGAATCTAACCATAACAGAACCTTTAATGAACGCACTTTATAACAAATGAATTTTTTACATTTTACATTAAAAACATTTTCTGAAAACTATTTAATTACACTGGTAATTCCTCACTACCTGGTCCTTCTTCCATTTGTATGCTTTCTCATTTGTATACTTTCACACTGCCTTGGGCCTGTCCTTTCAGAAAGGAGGCTCACAAATACCTTCTGCCTGCCTTAGGTTCCATTCAAGGACCACTTAATTTGAAATCAGGCCAAGAAAAAGGCATTTTATACCTAACAGAACTGCCTTACAAATTCCAGTCACAGCAAAATATCTGACGACATATGTTACATATGTTGAGTTTCAAAAACTGGTCCATCAGGTTCACTCTACCAATGCTCACTGTAGCCTGGGAAAATGCCAAAAGTAGAAATTTCAGGAACAGACAGATAGGAAAGCATAAAGATACTCATTAATGAGCTATCAGTCACATTTACAAATGCTATTATCTTAAAATACTTTAAAAATGTGTAATAGTTAATCTGTAAATCAAAGTAGCTTTGTGAACACAGGAACCAGTGAAGCGCAACTAAGTTTTTGTTTCTGCTTGTCAACTGCAAGCTCTGAATGAAGGCAGAAAGTATATAAGGTAACTTCAGAAGCACAGAATATAACAAAGAAAATAAAAATCTATCACATCTTCCTCTTACCTGGATATGGCACTCTCCCCTTTGTTACCAGCTCTGTCAGTAAAATTCCAAATGACCACACATCCGACTTGATTGTAAACCGACCATACAATGCTGCTTCTGGAGCGGTCCATTTAATTGGAAATTTAGCTCCTACAAACATTGGAAAGACAGATACTTAATTTTCCCTTGCTTATGCATTATTTGCTTACACTTCAAAATATTTTAAAAAGAATACTGCACTCAAAAAACGTTTACGTTTCGCTTCATTGACAAAATCTGAGGTGGTCTAGTGTTTTAATATTTCACTAAGGCAGCAACCGCTGGCTACAATTTTTGTAAGCAGCTAAGACATCTGGGATTCTTAACTAAATGTTTCAAAAAATGGGATGATCTTCAGAATCTGATGAGCAACCTCTCTGGAATATCATCTGTCTTCAAACTGTAGCAAGCTTTACCCCAAGAAAATAACTAAAAATGTTTTTTAAAATATAAGCAAACTGCCAGATAATTTTGAGCAATAAGAAGTTTACTAAAACTGCACTTAGGTGAGGGGGACACCTAAAGATAGCTGTGAAAGCACACTTACATGCATCATCCTTTTTCATGCAGACAGAATACACTGACACGTTCTGCTAAATGTAATAGTGCTAAATAATTTGAAGGTAACTGGTCTTATTTATTCAGTAAAAAAACTGGTCTTACCTTGTCTTGCAGTATACTCATTGTCTTCTATTAACCTTGCTAAACCAAAGTCTGCTATTTTACACACAAGATTGTCTCCTACAAGAATGTTAGCTGCCCGGAGATCCCTGTGGATGTAGTTCATTCTTTCAATGTAAGCCATGCCATCAGCAATCTTAAAAATAAAAATTTTATTAAAGATTATTTTTCATGACTATATACATTTCTCCCAAGCATTAAGATGTACCCCTTTATTTTATCTCCATTCTCATTGTATAAGTATAGAAAGTATAGCACAGCAAGAGCTTGTGACAGCACTGATGAAAGTGTGTCCGGCTATACAGTATCTACTAACTGGGAACTAGACTGTTTCTTTTTGACAAATTACAAACCTACAACAGAAAGCGTAAGAAAGAACAGCATACAATAGCCAGAGCATTCAATATTTACGTTTAGTTGATACCTCATATAGTTTTAAATTTCTCCTCCAAGCATAAAATACAGTTTTCTTGGTTTATACAATGTACCTGAGCAGCCATGTCGACCAGCTGTGGGAGTTTTAAGTATTTCCCTTCTCCTTCTTTAAGGAAGTCTAGCAAGCTGCCTGTAAAAGATGACACATTTTGAGGGGAAAAAAAAAAAAAAAGGGAATAAAAATGTTAATTTGACCTGAAAACATGCATGAGATTTTTTTTTCCCCCTAGACATTATGATTTACACATTCACCTCTTAAAAGCTGTGTTTGAAAACCCATCATTTAACAGAATACATGACTCAGTGACTATGTCTGTAGTTGACTCTGCTCTCATAACTAGTTAGTGCAAGTTTTAACCAAGTATTTTGGAATCCATTTCAGTAAGTCAGATAACTGAACATTAACAAAGCAGACTGCTGCTTGATCATTAGATCTACTGATAAGGCTTTTTCACAATATTCTTGGTATCAGTGCCCTTCCTAGTTGGACTTTTTGCCACAGTGAGATTTATAATTAAAGAACAAAAAACCTCCTATCCATTACTTAAATTTTTCTGCCAGCTCCAATTATATACTAGAGAAATTATTCCAAAATTGTTGCTTTTATTTTGTTGCTTTTTGTTCCTTACAGGGGAAAACAAAAGCATCTTCTATTCTTTACAATGATAATATATTACCTTCTCCCATTTATATATTGTAATCATGTCCAGAACATTACAACATGAGTAGTATGTGAAATCAGTTCCAAGGACCTCCGCTCCTTTTAAGACAGTGATCTGTACACACGTGGCATCTCTGACGTAAAAGCTTTCCCCACAGGTGTTATTATGCCATAAGGGTATAGGAACGTGATCTCTTTCTTAAGAAACTAGTGAAGGCTGATAACTAATCAGTCTCATCACAGTCAAAATTACAACAAAATTACAAGTGTGGCGATGGTGAGGAAAAAAAACACTGAACTGCAGATCTTGCAGTGGATTCATGGCTGTAGTTGTGAATTAGATATGACCGATATGGTTTTAGTCACCTGCTGTATTTTTGCCCTGAAAGTAGAAGTGTGGCAGGCCAGATGCACACTGCTGCTGCTGTTTATTGTGTTTGCACAGACTTTCTTATCTTGGTTCATGAGCAAAAAGTACCAGAGAGGAGCAAAGACTTCCCACTGACCTCAAGTAACCTGTCCACATTGGAAAAAAATTTTGGGTACTGTGCAGTTCTTACCCACCTTTTTTCCATGTAAAAACAGAAAGAAAAAGAAAAGGAAAAAGTTTGTTCTATTAACTTTCAAGTACAAACCAAAGAAGTTTTATTTTCTTTTTTGTAAAATGTGACAAGTTTTTCAAATGAAAACAGAAGCTTCCAATGGCATTCTGAATCCATAATTTAGACAAACATGCAACTATTTTTCCGATTTTATACTTCTGCTGTTGCAAGGTAACATCCCAGTTGCAATTTTAATCTTTACTTTTTCTTAGGCAGAATGCTGTAAAGCATTTTCTTATCCTGATTGTCTTGCCAAAACCTGATTTCTGAACAATGAAAACTGATTTTGCATGGCAGCTTTCAGATCCGACAGAGAGCCCGTCTCGTGCCATTTAGGAACACCACCACCACAGAAGGTACTTTTTCTATTTTCTATTCCCTTCTACCTCTTCAAACTTACATACAATACTTAAAATCCTTATCCAAACAGGAAAAAAGAACCCCACGTGTTTGTGGCAGAGTACTGAACACAAACAGACACTCTCTTGGACTTTAACATTGTTTCCATTTCTTACCAGAACAGCAAAATTTCTCTGTGAGGTGAACAGAAGCCTGCATTTTATGAAACTGGAATAATTTACTTGAAAATCTGCTGCTTCTTAAGACTAATATGCTTATGATGTTTATTTCTACATTTAGTTTAAAATCTCTAAATCTCTGTTTCAGCAGCAGGGGGAAGGGGAAATGATGTAGAGCAAGGGGAGAAGGATGAAAGACTGAAAACAAGGAGATAAAGCAGGGAGTCTGGAAAAAAAACCTCAACCTTTTTAAAATTTACTATTACACTGTTGGAAAAGAAAAACTAGAAAAAAAACCCCCTACTCATTCTGTCGTCGTGAGCATGATCTGTCTACAGGCAGGCGTGCTCTCATAATAATATTCCCAGCTATACCATCCAATTTAAGTGTAAATAGGCAGCACACACTAAAAAATGAGGAGAAAACCCCCCATCTTGTACTTGGAAGATGAGCAAGGGTGACACAGATGTGCAAAAAAATCATGCCTCCATCCATGATCTAAATCAGAACTGCTTCAAGTAGGTCAAGCGTTGCTCATTTTAATTTAATCAAAATTATCACTTATACTCCGCTCAGCTTAAACCTAACATTAATTAAACATTTCATTTGTTGCTGGGATCTTAAATAATCTTTTAATCATAGTATCTTCAAACTATTCTGTCACATACCTTTTGTCATGAATTCAGTGACAATGTAGATTGGTTCCTCAGAAACAACGGCGTATAGTGGAACAAGCTTGTCATGTCGCAATTTCTTCATGATCTGAGCCTCCTGCAGGAAAGCTTCTGGCATCATTGTACCAGGTTTTAGTGTCTTGATTGCTACTTTTGTGGTTCCATTCCATGTTCCTAGAGAAACAAATTAGATCTTATTCTCCGCTATAATACCGAAGAGGTTTTCTGCAGAAACTGTTTACTTTTTGCTTCTGGTTTGTTAGCTAACAGTACAATTATAAATTAGGACTATATTGAATACTATTTTTACCTTTTTGACCATAATTGGTACTTTTTCTCTTCAATTCTTTATCAGATTATCTTTTCAGATCTCAATACTGATTTACTCAAAATACTATTAAAACATTCACACGAACAACTGAAAGGTGTCACACTAAGCTCTTACCCATCCATACTTCACCGAAACATCCTTGGCCCAACTTAACTTCCAGCCTCAAAGATTCTCTAGGAATTTCCCAGGCATCTTTTGCTAGTCCCTGTGTTTGTGGTTTCACAGTGGGACACACAGTTGTTAGTTTATGACACAGCCCATCAGCATGTTCTGGAAAATGGAAAAAATAAGCTTTGTCGTTAAGCAGGGGTAAGACTACAACAAAAGTAACATCCTAATGCTGATAAAAAGAACTAGCCCATTTACTGTTTGTCAAAATAAAAAAGAAATTTTATAATTGTGAATTTAAAAAATAAGCTACATCTGCAGTTTTTCTTTCTCATGATAGGCACAAGGTAGCATTAGAACATTAGCACGTGGGCTTACCTCTGTAGTGTTTCACCAATTTCTGTAGAGATTCAAATTGTGCTCTAGTTGTGATATAGTATCCACCATTGTCAAGTTTTCTGATTTTGTAGTGTTTCACATTATCACCCCTGACCTCATCCCAGTCACGTATGGAAAGGGAGTAAGCACCTAGGAAACAAGACATACTTGGTTCTTTACCAAAAAATTAAAAACGTTTAACATATCTGCGTAAATATAATGTGATAAACATAAAAATTGTCATTATGTCCACCTTGGCAGTGGGGGGACAGGAGAGACAAGAGATATGCATAAATATACCTTTAGTGGTTTCACTCTCTCTCACTAAGAAAATACCACGCTGGTTCCCAGGATTTAAAAGTAGCCTTTCTGCATCCTTCCTGCCCATCTTACCAAAATACCACCTAGAAAACATTAAAGGAAATATGTGTAAGTAAAAGCTTCCTATGCTTTGGTAATCATATAAATACAAGATTTAGAAATCTCAAACATTGATTGGACTACTAATATCCCAAAGACATTGCTGATCAACAAAAGTAATGACATCCATATAATCAAAAGGCTAAGATGTCCTACTTCTATATGACTCTCATTTCCATGGTTTGCAACATACACGTAAAGAGGCCTCTATTCACAAATACTATGTTTTTCTGATGGTTTAACAATGGATATCAACGGTAATTAACATTGAAAGTAACACCCTCCTTCTGGTTAAGAAGTTCACAGGTCAAGCTGAATCAGATGACACACTTTGGCAGCACACTCAGAACACTGCAGCAGCTGAAATCACATTCTGTCTATATGTTAGAAAACGATATTTAATGCAAAGTGGGTGTGTATAAATACCATTGGACCACATGTTCCTTCAGATCGGAAGGGGCCTTTGGGGGGCTCTCTGGTCCAGCCTCCTGCTGTAAAGCACGGTCAGCTGTGAGATCAGACCTGGTTGCTCAGGGTGTTGTCCACTCCAGTCTTGAAAACCTTGAAGAATGGGCCCTGCACAGCCAACCTGGGCAACCTCTGCTCCTGCCTGGCTGTCCTCAGTATAAAAAGGTTTCTTCTAATATCCAGCTGGAACCTTTCCTGTTTCAACTTCTATTGCCTCCTGCCCTTCTCTACCTCATTAAAGGAAGCACTTTTTTCCACTAATCATTTAGAAACAACCCTGTGGTAGGTATCATTTGCTTCTCTATGAGTAACACTCCATCTTTGTTGCATCATTCTGATACCGAAAAGTGCACAGATGTTTTAAAACACCTGTGTATTTTCTTGCCTTAAGTTGTTTCACAAAAGGAATTTCTTCTTTTATGCTCCCACAGTGTGCTCATCCTGATGTACAGCCTGCACACAGCTCTGCCCTGAGCCACCGATAATTTTAAGGTCCACCTTGCAGTGAATCCCCACACTTTGGAATAACACTTATTTCTTACTACGTTTTATTTTGATTCTGTGCCTCAGAAGTCAAAGTGATGCAAAGTGTAAATTTCAAATATTTTCATTTGGCACCATAATAGCATCAAACAAATCCGGCTTTATGAGTTGGGAGAAGGAAAGTGGTATTGGAAACTGCTGCAAAACAAGTTTTGTGGGTGAAACATTTAAATGTCGGTAAGGAGTGATCATTTTGTTGGCCTGTGCAATCACTTTGGAGTTAAAAACTTATTCTTACTTTTTAGTGTATTTGCAGTTTGACTCTTTAAGTAGATGTGCAAAGTTAGAATTGGATATGAGAGTATGTACACTTGAGACAATCTGGATGCAACCTATAACCTTACTGAAGCAAACTTGAACCCTAATTAATTACTTCACATGAAAATGCCTCTTCCCCAGACTACTACAACAATTTACAAACTATATTGTAAAGAACTATTTCATTTCATGACCTATAAAATAATAGTAGGGTTTACTTGTTCTTTTTATGATCATTAAACGTTTATATTATGGTATCATTCAAAAAGCACACGGATAATATGGATCCTGTCACAAACTGCTGTTTGTGATATAAATGCCTTCAGGCTTAGAAAAGACCATTTAAAGAAAATCCTAGCAACCTGGGGCTGTGTATTGCTTTTGCACTTGTAAATCCAACTTCAATCACAACACAAAAATCTATAAACACTATGAAAGCCCAGGGCTAATAAATGAACTCTAAAGCAAATTAACTCTTTTCCAAATGCTATGGCAATATTTAATAAAATTAACACTAGTTCTTTAAAATAGTTAGTTTAAAAAAGCTTCCTCACTCATCACCCCTCACTCTCACCTGTAGACATCACATAAACCTATGACAAATCCCCTGTTTTACCAGTCTTTAGGAGCAGTACCTTCTTTGCAGAAACACTGCATTCTGAGTTTGCAAAGGGCTATCATTTCCATTTTACCACTGCTGCAGCTATAACGACAATGTGCTTTTATTGTGTAGTTTATAAAACACCTCTCAACTTTTTTTCAAAAAAATCTGAAGTCAGTAATTTTAATTTTTTTTAAATTATTTTATGCCCCTGAGCTGAAACTCAAGGGCATAAAATAACAGCGCGTCTTTGATGCAATCACTTTTTAATAGCAAAGAGCCAGGTGAAAGCAGCAGCAACATGTAAAGTCTCAGCTTGAGATTCAGGAAACATCTTGGAAATCGGGCACTTTCCCCAGAAGTGCAGTAGCAAACATGGAAGTGTGTAGATCATGTATCAGGGAATTGCTTATTGGCAGTACCATGCCTGTATATTGAAGCAAGAGCTGCAGAGCTTTGTATTTCTAGTCCAACAAATACAAATAATCCCTTGGAACAAGTATAACCTGAAACTGTACCCCAACTCACAGTTCCCACAATAAATTTATGTGATTCTGTAAGTGCCCTGTGATCTTTGTTTGTAAATAAATGTAGGAAGTACTGGTACCCAAAGCAATACAATCTTCCAAATTCATAGTAGTCCTTAGTGTGCTTAATAATTTTGTCACCAAAAAATTGTTATAGATTAAGAGATTAGTAATTACTGTCCACACAAATGTTGTTTTAGAATGTAAGATTAGGTGCTACCAAGGATACACCTGATCTTGAATTAGAGTTTGGCAAGCAAAAATAAGGATAAAAACCTTATGTGAACTCTATGTGAAACATCTATTTTTGCTTTATATGAAACACAATGCATGTCCCCCAATTCTTATCATCATTACTGCGTTCTCCTACCCTTTTTCCTTTAGCCCTACCTATAGCAAGCAGGCATAAAACATTTGCGTGAGTGTCCACCTCACACTTACTAATAATTATACCTTTGACATCACCCAAGTAGCATTGCTATCCTTTAATTAGTAGTATTATCCTACTTTACCATTAAATGTTACATGTACTGACACAAAGGAATAGTATCACCATAGGGCACAAAGTGTAAATGGATAATAAGAACATATTGACAGAATACGATGTCTTACTCTTCTGCTTGAATGGAGTCTGCAGGAGCTACATAATTACTTGGGATGTAGCCTGTTTTTCCCGTAGCAATGGATCTTGCTTCCCACCAGTCTCCTTCCCTGCAATGCAACATCAGTTATCTCTTCCACATATAAACAATACATCATCCTCTAGCAGCTATAACATCCTTACAGATGAAAGGTAGGTTGAGTTTAGGTTATTTTAATTATGAAGGCATCTAAAATAGTTTGTGTTGCTCCTAAATATATTTTTTTTTTCATTGTAAGCAACACGAGTGCCTCTTGGTGGAATTCTGTATTTTAAAGGGCTTTTTTGTTTAGATTTGTTTTTGGTTTTTTGTTTGGTTTTTAATTTAGTGTAAAAGGAATTTATCTACGTATGCAAAATGTAAACCTACAACAAAACGTTTTATGGCAGAGACGTATAAATAAAATTCCCAGTTCTCTAGTCTTCATCTGCCTCTCCCAGATCATTCTGCCTGTACGCTGACAGCGAGAAACGAAGGAAGCAGGAAGTCAGCTAATAAAATTAGAGAACTGGATGAATGAAAACTGCTACATGTATGAATTAGAACTATTAACACAGCCAAAAGCTGCATGTAAAGAAATCTCCAAGGTGTACAAATTACTTCCTTTTCACTAGACTTGTAAGAAATCAGGCTGTAATACTGTAACACTGCTGCAATTGAACTAGAACATCAAACTACTCAAACTATCTGAGCATGGATTTACTGCAGAGGCCAGCTAGATACACTTCCATGGCCAGAAGTCCCTGCCTACAGTCCCCACCCCTACAGGGCGCTTGCCTCCAGCATTTGCAGTGCGGTGCTGCTGTCTTTGCCCACACCCCCATGAGATATGGCAACCCATCAGAGAGAACCTGCAAGGTGCAGAACCTGGGATGGGACAGTATGTGTCTCCACCTCTGCTGCCCCAAAGCAGGTAGCTGTGCCTTGCTGGAGCCGGGAGTGGAAGGATGCCACTCAACCAACTGAGGAGGAGAAGGCTTGGGGCTGCCCCAGTCACTACAGTCCCACATCTGCACTCAAACCCTGAACTCAGCCTGAAGGTTATTGTCTTACCAGTATCAGTATTTTAACCGCATGTTTGTTGAACGTTGCATGCATTCAAGAAAATAAAAAATAAAAAATAAAAAAAATTAAAAAAAAAAATCAATCAATCTACTCTTCACTGAAATAGGATACACAGATTTTTCCCAACAACAACCAAGTGAAGTCTGTGAATGAGAACACTTACGTGTTATTTATTATCTGGAACCGTTCACCTTTCTTAAATGAAAGGTCATCTGTAGTTCTAGCTTCATAATCATATAAGGCCACAAATACAGTAACACCACCTTAGGAAACAGAAAAAAACCCATGATATAGCAGTAACACTGCAATGCTTGACTTAAGGACTCGTCCATGAAACAACTCATCAATTTTGATTTGGAAGTAACTAAGAACTCTGGGTTCTATCTCATTTGGGAAGCTTGATCAATAATCAGCTCATTTCTTAAGACAGAGGAATGCCTATAAACAGATACCCTAAAAATATGCTTCCACACCACAAAAAAGCAGCTCGATACATCACTGGAAGTACATTAGTAATTAGAACACTTACATACAGAAAACTGCGTAACACGTCAGCAGTAAAAAAAAAAAAGTTAGCTTCTTTATTAAGCTAGCTTCTTTTTAAGAAATGCAATTCTAGAAGATCCTACAACACCACAACGGTGAACCATCAACCACTGCTTTTTACAGAAGTAGTTTCCTTTTGAACTTAGCTATAAATAACTGATGTGTGCCCAACTTTCTGGGGTTACACACCAAGATCTACTCAAGGAACTGAACTACAAATAAAAGTATTCTGTTGGGGAAAAAGACGTTTTGCTGCTTTAGATCTAATGATTTTTAATTCCATCAAGTCTCCCCAGCGGTGAAGCAGACCCTTGCTGAGGATCCTCCATCAATGCATTTACTCTAGGGAACAAGGACCAAGATACATTACAGGATGAGCAGCTGCACTCCACCAACCCTAAGGAATTTGCTTCCCCATCCCACTTCTGGTACAGGGCATGCTGTTCAACATGTCCCACAACCAGGATACATGTGTGAAAGAAGGAAGGTAGGGAGGCTCCTACACTTACAGTAGGAAAACATTTTCTATACTTAAAAGAATTAATCTGTAAAACTGGGCTAAAAGAGAAAGAGGGAAAGGGGAACAGGCGGTATGAGATACACAAGGTACAAGCAAAAATAAGTAACTATGTACCATAACTAGAAGAAAGTTAAAATAGAAAACTGCAGATGGGCAATACAGAAAGACTTTTTAAGCTCTAGAAATGCTACTTCACAGTCTAATGGATATTTAGGAAGCCTAATGATAGTCCAAGCAATACCTTACTTTTAAAAGTATAATATTACATCTCTAACATGTATATATATGTACCAGGATATACATAGAAGACCACCAACAGAAACATGTTGCAGCTAATTTTAGATCTTACAATCAACGTGACAGTGATCAGAAAGGAAGAATACACAATGCAACAGATGTTGTCTACATCTAATATTCTTTTACAATGCACACTTTCTGACATAAGAGCTCCTAATTACTTAAATATTTTAATTTGATTTAGAGTCTTCCTGTGATTACACTATCTCAGCAGACCTCAGCTGGAACTGAATTTACAGTTCCTCTAGGAAAAACATAACAAAAAATCCCCATGGGAGGTTAGAGTAATTGAGGGGTTTTTTTGAAGTGTGATTTATGAACTGAAAATTAATTAGAATATCCCCTAGAAGTTAATAGTTTCTAATCTAAGTTAAAAATCAACACATTTCTACCAATTTTTGCCTGCATTACTACATTACTACATTATTTTGATGCCACAAGCTGCTACATGGAGCAAGAAAAATGTGGGGATACATACCATGTTCACAAAAAGAGAAACCAAATGTTACGGAAGTAAACTATCTCCAGAGAGTTCTTCAGCAGATAAAGAAAATCAATACTCTCAAGTCACGATACTACAAAATTTTCAACTGCATATAAAGAAACTGGAAGACTCCAAGAACTTCAAAACAAACTGTACAACATCTAGAGAGATACTGATGTAGGAACAAGAGAAAGACTAATTCTCCTAGACAGTGTAGACTAGTCAAAGTAAAGGATTAAAATGTAAACCATGCAGTAAAAGAATTATCAGTAATTATCAGTATTTGTGTGCTCTTTATTATTTTTGAAGAAAGAATTGAAAAAGCTAACATATAATCCTTGGAAAGTTTTGGTTTCAACAGTTCAGCTACCACAAAAACTCTTTTTATTCTCACTCACAATTTATTTCATAGCAAAGAACAATAAAATACTTCAGGAGAACTGCACAGAATGTTTTAAACAAACAGATACCACTCAAATGATTTTTGAAGTCTCTTGCAGCTGTTTTCTTTGTGAATCACGGCAAGGTGATCTAGTTTAGCTGTTCAAGCTATTTGTAGTCATAACATTAACCTTAAAGGTTATCCTTTCATTAGGTCAGTATTCCCATCCTCTAATCTAGTACTGGTTTTGGAGACAAAAGACCACCTCATTTTCTTGTTCAGCATGAGAACTACAGAGCACTAGTGCTTACCCGCATGGAAGGCAAGAACAGTAGTCCATTTTTCTGTTTTGATTTTCAGTAATATTCTATGAATTCAAAGTATCTGATGACTGAGAATGCGTAATACAGGAGCAGTGTGACTGACTCAGATTTCTTCTCCTTTCCTGCTCTAGAGGAATAAAAGATAGCTCAACTCTTCTCAGCTGCACTACAGGCCATGATGACAACCACATCATCCTCTTGTCAGACATCACTGATGGACTGGATAAGTACTACTGACACTTATGTCCTGTTTGCCAAGCCCATCTATTCTCCTCTCTTGTGAAACAAAGGGCCACAGAATGTGATCCAGTGTTTTATTTGTCACAGATACAAAAAGCTTACAAGCTTACAGCCAGATGAAGTTAAGTTATCTTACTAATTCACAAAAACACACGATTTTGATTATCTGAAAATTGCTACTGAATGCACCAAACAACTGCTGGTGCAATTTTAAAAATTTATTTATTTTTAAGTGCATTTGTTTGTGGGTGGGTTTTACAAAATGAGGGATAATTACATATGCAGTATCATTTTACCTGATCGCAAAACAATGGGGGTATTCACCCACATCAGCCTGCCTGCTGATAACTGAATTGACACCGATGAGACATTAGACTATCTTTTCATGAGAAATCTCTCCTGTTGTCTCTGGTCCAAGATACAACATGCTTAACTACTGGCAGGAACAGGGACAGGCAAGCGAACACCCCTCCTGGTTTCTGCAGCAAAGGATTTGTGGTATCTGGTGGGGGGCTACATCCCTGATGCCTGGTAATGCCCCCGAGTGCCTGCACGCACTGCTAGAGATTCCCACATGAAAAAAGAACAAGATCTCATAAGAAGAAATACACAGAGGTTCTTGGAGGAGATGGAGGATTTCTTTAGGCATGATAAACTCTTCTTAGCGGAGCTAAGGAATAAAAAGAAATGTTGCTCTTATTCATTTCTGCATATGTTCATCCAAAATGAGGATTCAGAGCTGACTGAAAAATATTGAGACAGGAGAGATGCTCATTTTAATTATTTGGCTTTTAATGAATTCCCAAAAAGGGAATATGAGGTGATCATTACCTGACAATTCATATTTGGTTTCCTGAATTGCTTAATGTCAAGGCCACAGTGGGTTTTCATGGATCTCAAATTTCTCATGTTTAAAAGATTTTAAATGCCACTGTAAAGCAGCAAACATTTAAGCACTGTAATAGTGCTAACATTAGAAGTTTGTGGGAAAACTAGAAATAGACTAATAAGGAATTATTTAGCGTGTTTTGTGCAGTGTCTGTGCAAAGCTTCTAAAACAAATTACTCTCTCCTCTCTCAAAAAAAAAGAATATATTACAGCTTCCTCTCAAACATATCCAGCAAAACTACTGAGATTAGCCACGTGCACAAAATCAATGGTTTTGTAATGAAGTTTTAAGATTTTGATGTGTGTATAATACCAGATGTACATATTACTTTAAAATGCTGTGTCTTCAGACACTTTATATCTCAGCCAAGAAGGTCTTGGGGCCTTGTAAATTCTGTTTTTACATTTTCAACTTTGGTTTTAATATGACCTCCAACAATGAGAATTCTGCTCTTTCGTTTCACACATATCATTCATGTACACAGAGTATACTGCACATCCTGTTTAGGTTTATGAATCAACAGATTCAAGGTTGCATTACTATTAAGTACCTTACAGCTAATCAAATAAGTCTGAAAATCAGTTTAAAATATCAATTTCATGAATTTGAAGTTTATTTCATTTTGCACCTCTCTCCAACAGTCCAAAGCCATTATCCCATGTGCAACCCTTCAACAGCTTAGAACTTCTAACACAATTTTATCAACTATTCCCATTATTGCCTTTAATAAGTCTTAAATGTCTCTGTGCTGTGATCCTAAACCCTGCCCCCCAAAACAAAAACCAAAACACCCAATGCCCAAGCCCCAATCACTATTGAATATGGGCTGAATTATTATCTGAGCAGTGAAGATACTGAAAAAAGAAATCCTTAAAAGACAATTTATTTTAAATTTGCAATTTATTTCTGTGTGGCAAGGGGTCATAGTATTTGTTTGAATATGACTGTCAAACTTTAATAATAATAACAACGACAATAACAATAGCAGCATCATTTTATGTAACACTCACCTGTTAAAGTACTAGGATATGGACTTGGCACAGCTGAAAAGGAAGATGATGCTCCTCCAAAGGGTGTCATTCCTGAGGGCCCTCCAAAAGGAGTCATGGAGTGACTATTAAAATTAACTGCTGATCCCTTTATTGACGGAGACTGTGTTGCTTGGCTGGAGTCTGATCCATAATGGCTGACGTGCGAAATAACAGGTTCTGGAGTATTATCAGTTCTGTATTTCATGGCTGGACCTTTATCTTCTTTGCTTTTAATGCACCCCATGGTTGCTTCTGTGAGAATGAGAAGAAAAAAATGAGTTCACCTCCATATAAATATGTAATATTTATTTGTAAATACCTTACAAACTATCTTTTGATAGTTAACACAGAAGACTCCCAAAAAGTTACCAAATATGCTGATGTATTACTGTTTAATAAAAAAACAAAACAAAACCAAAAAACCCCAACAAAACAACCCTCAGCAATTGCTGCCACATGCAGATTATAAACTCCGACAAAAAAGTATTCTGGAATAAAATCTAAACCATTCCCAAACTAGAGGAGACCTAATTATTTTCCCTTACATCACATACTAAAAGCACATTTGGATTATTCTTCATCGCAGTTCCCTGGAGGACTGTAAATGGTAAAAAATAAAAATAAAAATAATAAAAAAGGAGTTAGGCAACAGACGAGGAGAAGACAATGAAGACTTCTATGGCAGGGTGAAAGGGGAAACAGAGGTGACAAACCCAGAGTTAATTATATGAAGCAAATCCAAAACAATTATATGAAGGAAATAAGTGGTACATGCCTTTCTTTTTTAAGCACCTGTGCAGTAAGGTCCTGACCTGCCAGTGGAATTATAACTAATATCTTTAAAGATGCAGAGAAGTTTTCATCCATTGCCAACCTCCAAAATACAACTCGCAAACAAACCTGGGATATTCATGGCCACGGGACAGGGTTAAACTCTAGAGTCTAATCAGAACTAGAAAAAAATTTAGAAGAGTAATTGCAACATCACTGGCAGTTTAGAAAATGAACTGCGCCTGGACAGGCGACAATTTATAGCCCTCACGGCCCAAGATTGCCACCAGCTCCCACTGCAGGCAGACTGTGCCAGAGCTCTTTACCCAGGGGACACCCATTACCTGCTGGTGGAGGTGATCAGAGAGGAGACTCATCACCAACAATTAAAATGACTGCATCTTAACAAGTCCCCACCTGCCATTTATCAGGTGGTGACAACTGATAGCAGGCATTTTCTGGCTTACGCCAGCTGGCAAACAGATCAAGAAGAAAACAGGATCTCTATTAAATGCAGCAATACTCTGACATGAAAATTCCTATATGCTTGGGGGGGGCAAGGTTAAAAGTCTACTGTAACTTCCAAAGTAGGAACCTCCACAAAAATAGCAAATCACCTGCTCCACACTCTCTAAAGAATCAGTTAAAAAAAATAAACAGCAGCAGCCTGAAACCATTAAAAAGACATCTTTTGGTAACTACAGTAACAGTTTCATGGACTCTAACTAACACTTAGGGAAACTGTTTCCCATTGTGCCTCTGACTTTTTTCCTTTCAATGGTCTCTTACCTTGTTAACTATTAGACACAGAAATACGGAAAGAAGTAAATCTTACTAAACAAGTACTGCCTTAATATAGTCACACTGAGAGAAACAAATTCCCTCTGTATGACTAACCATCACGATATTAAAGATACTGCAATTTCCTCAAGAACTGTGAATCAGAGTTCCTGGAAAGATGATAATCCGTAGCTGGTAAAACAACATATAGAATTCACTGCTCATAAAATTATGAATAGTCACCCTGTCAATTCAGCCCCTAATGCTGTGATGTAATACTGGTGCAGAAACAAGCAGCAAAATCACATAACTGCGTTTTTACAAATCTTGTCTGAGAGTTTACACAGAATAATAAATCACCACAAAGGCACACCTTATCCTTTTTTTTTTTTTTTTACTTCTGATACCGTTATTGCCAGCTTATTAATTGTGTACAAATGTTAACAGAGCAAGACTCAAATACATGCACGAAGAATGACACCTTACAATCTACGGTAGAAAAGCCAATTATTAATCCACGATACAAGTCAATCAAACACCCAATCATGTCCTTTTAATTTCTCCACCACTGCAAACAGACACTATAACTTGAACCACTTTTTTTTGGCCATGTGGCTGCCTCTTGTGAATCCTTGCCTTACTCTGAGGCCTGTTTCTTTGATTCTCTTTAAAATAACTGCAGTCTTAAGTTTTCCGCTAGCACTGAATAAAAGTCCAATCACCTTGATAGCACCGATTCCCTGCCTTTGGTTGAAAGTTAAGCATCATACACAATTCCAAAGTCCAGCACGCTACTTATGTTAATAAAGTAGATTAAAAGTGAAAGGTACAAACATTTGTACAATTAAGTGTAAATATTTTTCCTCTGTAACTTCTGGCATTTGGTTAACTTGTAACAGGCTGAAAAGACGTCAAGATCACAAAAAAAAAAAAAAAAAAAGACAGAAGCCAATTTACCAGTTCTGGTAAAACTGCTGGATTCTACCCACGGTATTGCCGATCTGACCAAAGGGCTGGTGGCAGTGCTACCCTGTATTGCACCTCTAACTACTGTCACCCATACGCGCTCGCGTACTTCAGCTGTGGCTAGCAAGAAGTTGCCATTGGTATACTTGAGTCCCGCAGAGAAAAGCCCTTACTGAAGACTTGAATTCATTCTAGGGAAATCTATTCTGCCTCTCCCTTGCTTCTCCCCTCCCCACCCACTTCACTGTTAAGGTAATCTTCTTTCAGGGGTTAAAGAGATTAACAACAGAGACTCAATCAGCACTTCAAAGAGAAAAACATTCAGAAATAAGCAGGCAAAAATTTAAAAGCTCTACTTTTATAACTGCATACTCACAAAACGCAATTAAGGACGAAAACTCCTTAGCTTTTAAAAGCCAAAAACATAGGTGGAACTTACTATGAAATACTGTGTTTGCATTTCTGAGGAGGAATTAGGGGACTGCGGGAAGATGACATAAACCAAGAGCGAGTAGTAGGGAAGGGAAAAATGATTGCTCACACGGGGAGCGGGGGAAGCCTTAAAAATTACTGGATAAAGAAAAAAGACCTCTAAGCAGCTGGTAAGCAATGTTGAATTTGATTGTTTGGGTACTGCATTTGTTACCAAAGTGTATGTAACTGAAATAATTTTACAACTATATTTTTCTCCCTGCTCATTGGGGGCGGGGGGGGGGTGGACTAGATGAACTTTAAAGGTCCCTTCCAACCCAAACCATTCTATGATTTACCATCCTTTGTCTCACCAGCAACAAAATATTAAGGAATACATTTCTGTCATAAAATTAATGGTGCTCTTTTTGAAGCACTGAACTTTTTAGAAACAGAGATACAGATTAGAAGTTCCTGTTTGCTCTGCGGAAGTCCATCTGTTCAAAGAAATGCTGGCCCAAGGTATGTTATTCACAACCCACTTATCCAGTTCCCATTAGTTAAATCATTATTTTAGACCAAGCTGCTGTCTGAAGTAAATGGCTTGGGTAAATTCAGCAGTTTGTACTTTCTTTGAAACAAATACTCTCCTGTTGGTTCTGATCGGCGTGACCACGCATTTGGTGTGTGGGTTAAGAGTCAACTTGCTGGAGGTCTATCAGGAAACCATGTTTGGAAAGCAACGGACTAAAAGCACATATATCTTGTTTTGCTTTCTAGATTAAAACAATCCTAGATTAGAACTTTTCAAGAAGAACGAGAAGCTAAAATGATTACTGGAAGAACAGCTGAAGGTTAGCAGGATGCCCACAAAAATCAATAGAAGAATAAGAGTACTCCAAGAAGCGGTCATCAAATGAGATTTTAGTGACATCTAATTTGACTTGGACTTTTTGGAAAAGTCATACAAAAGGCAAAAGTTCACTGTGGTTCAATACTCTACAAACACCTCAGACAATGACAGAGGACCCTTAATAACCCCTCTGCCAAACAAGAGAGCTCCAAGAAAGTCAGGGCTGCCCTCTTATCTTCCAAGCTCCGTTTCATAGCAGAGTGCTGGGTCACAAGGAAAGCTTTGCTCAACAACTGGAAAGTGTGGCCAGTAAAGTCTTTGTGGGTTTTTTTTTCCTGCTTTCCCTTCAGAAAGATGACCTACTAGCCTAAGAAAACTCAAGAGCCATCATATCCTAGGATACTGACAAATGGTTCCCTCAGGGTGTCTGCAGCCAGCCTGGAGAGGCGGGTGTCACAAGGGAACCACTCATTCGTCCAATGCGTGTTTGCTCTTTCCAGCTGAGAGTTACAGAAGTTATCTACTTATTGGTACCTTGGGACACAAGGGTCTCAGGAATGCTTCAAGAAAGGTCTCCTACTGGCATGAAGGAAGACGCTAGAGCTTTCTTTGAAAGAGGTGATTTTAACTCGGGTAGATAAACTGAAAGTCTGGTACAGCTAGCTGCCTCAGAGCAAAGCAGTCTGAAAATGCCTCTAAACTCCATATTAATTCCACCCCCCCCGCCCCCCCTCGGCATCAAGATTTTGAGTGCTAGATGGTAGCCTCTGAAACCCCAAAGACCAGAAGCTGGGAGAGCTACACATTTGTTTCACTTGCTGTAATTTGATAACAAATTATTGTTATGTTATAACTTGCCGGGATTTGATAACAAAAACCATTCGCTAGGAAAGAAACAAGAAAAATGAGGATTTTCCTCTTGGAGCCAGCTGGAGGTATTCTTCTGAGCTTGCACTCCTGGTACAATATAGTATGTCCCCAGACGCCTTCTGGAGACTTCATCATGATGTAAGGCCATGAACGACAGCCGCACTGAGCCATTCTGACATGCTGCAAAGAGAAAGACGCTCTAGGGAGTTGTTCTCCTTTGAACCTCTAGACTAAACTGGGTGCTAAAACTGTACAAGAATTAAATGCAAGAGGTAGGACAAAAGAAAAATCATGAAAGGGAAGGGTGATTTTCAACATTTCTTTTTGCTATTCCGTTTGATTACTGAAATTGTCCATATAGCAGAAAGAGCACATAAGTCATTTTTTCAGTACGAAGAAAGAGTCAAGTTATAAGAACAAGAAAGTCAAATATCCTTCCAGAAGGGTAAAGCAAGACTGCAAATATGCTCCTGCCTACAACAAACAAAAAAAACAACCCAAATAAAAAATGATCTCCTCGTGCTACATAAAGGGGGGGATCACAAATATAAAGAATAATTTTATTTGAGGTTCATAAATTGCTAATAAAAAGACAAAA